GGGAGCTTTAAGGCTTGTGGCATGTGCAAAAAAATTGCATATAGAGGGCAGCACTGAAAAAGAATAGCTATTTATGTGAGTGGAGGTAAATACCTATCGGAAATACATTTTCAGTATAGGAAAATTATAACTTTAAATAAAAATCCTTATAAAATATAACATATTGCTACAAAGTAACAGAGAAAGTCATTGTTTATAAGATATTTTTCACTAAGAGCTATAACATATAGGAAGGTAATGGTAAAAAAAAAGAGAATAACACTAGTTATGCAACAGTTGTAACAGAAATATAGATATATCTGTATAATAGTTGCAATAAAAGTAAAATACCAGGTGCATAAATATAGATATTATTTTGGATGACTGAATTATTATTTCTTCAATGAAACAGTCTTTATTTAGTTATTTTACTTTGATGAGAATCAATAGAACTGTTAAGCTATGTTAAGCCGACTATAAAGTTCAAGTTCCATTTATTGTCAATCGATAGGATGTGTGGAAGAGGAAATGTTAGTATTTATACTCTGCACTGGTTAACTGTAACTTTTCTGAAAACTGAAACAGAGAGGATTTAAACCTACATCCTAGCCTACTGAGCATGTGTATTTTCTTCCAGCCAACTTAGAATATCAACTTGTACTAATTAAGACCAAATTACTAAGTTGATTAGGCTTACCTTGCAAGTAAGGATATGGACTTCAATCTCACTGTCACTTCAGAAAACGTTTAATAGTAGCATATAATAATGTACCACTTTAAGTTTTCCATTTGTTGGTATTACACCTTTGTTCACTTCACCTCTTAGATATGGCATCTGTGTATAAGAGTTACATGTTACGACATAAATTTGTTCTATTAAATTATTTTTAATCATTTATAAATTTGATCAGCAAAAGAAATTCGTATTACACTAAAATGTTAATGCTTTTTGCTGCTTTATTTGCTGTTTTGTATACAAATGTAACTTTCACATATCTGTAAAAATTAATATGTCATTCATTTCATAAAATGTTTGCCATTGTGTGGGATCTTCTAAACAAATATTATGTATGGTGATTTGTGTGTGTGTAAAATTCAATAACTTAACAGTATTTCAGAATGGCAGCATATACAAATTTGTGTTAGAAAAGGGTATTTAAATTCACTAAAAGGAAAACTATTTGACATTGTTTGTAAACATCAATGTGATAAAAAGTTAATTCATACATCTGAAGATCAGATGAAAAGTATTAAGGGTGTGACATGTGTGATAAAAAGTTAATTCATACATCTGAAGATCAGATGAAAAGTATTAAGGGTGTGACATGTGTAATAAAAAGTTAATTCATACATCTGAAGATCAGATGAAAAGTATTAAGGGTGTAACATGTGGGCATATCATGCATTTTCCACCATCATTTATTAATATAGGAATTTTTAAACTGTTTTGTTTAGTTTAATTCTGTGCAGTTTTGGCATAAATATGTGGTTCAGAAAACCACTGAGTTGTTTTGTTCAATTACTTTTGTTTCTTTGTTGTTTTATATCAGTTAGTATATTGTAAGAGAACAAGTAGCACATGGTGACGTTTGTCACTTAGGGTATAACTAAGGTTTTCTGTTTGATGTGTAACATTGGTTTTAGTTAGAATCCAGAAAGTTCAACTTTGTTCAAAACATGAGTCAGTTAATCTAAAGTCTTTAAGAGATAATAATTTCTAATTGATTCAGTAGGAAGATAGCTGTTTGGTGTTTATGCACTTATTCACACTGTGTTTTTGCTTTGTAATTTGTATATAGATTATTTTTACATTTTACACCATGTGTCCAGTCTGTTTATTTTCTTAGCTTAAACTCAGTCGTGTAGTTAAATTCATATTTACTCTCTAATTATTCTGCACAAATCTCCTATTATAAAGAACCTTTAAAATATTTTTATGTTGCAGGTGGCAGTGCTGTTAATGGATACTCAGGGTGCTTTTGACAGTGAATCAACTGTAAAGGATTGTGCCACAGTTTTTGCTTTAAGCACTATGACTAGTTCTGTCCAGGTATTAAGGAATAAAGTATTTATTACTTTAAGCTGACATTAAGTACAAAAGTGACAAAATGTTTCATGTAAATTATTCAGTGTTTTATTACAAACTCATTTTAAGTGTATTAATTATTAACTAACTAACATTTGAATTCTGTTTATTTATATTATGCTTTTAACAATAATATTTGTCAAATTTTAAATGACTGTTGCAAGATAATTTCATTTGTAATATTTTGTAAAGTAAAGAAAAACAAATTCTTTAGTGCTTAGGAACACACCTTATACATATGTGTGTCTATGTTTGTATATAGAATGTGTGTTTTTTTATTGTGAGAGGTGACTTCTGTTTGGATATACCTTGTCTCCAGTTGATTCAGCAACTGCTTTACACCTATGAGGTATAAATAAAATTGTTGATAAAACTCTCTTGACTTTTGCTCCCCAGTAGCTCAGCAATAAGTCGGAAGGCTTATGATGCTAAAAAGCTGGTTTCTTTACATGTGGTTGGCACATATCAAACAAACAACTCATGACTTTCTCTATACAGACAGTTTGATATGATTTTAAATTAGTAAATTGAAGTTGCTATGTAGGTTAAGAATAATGTAGTTGTGTATGTTTATTCATATAAAATACAAGCTGCAGCTATAGCATTTTGCTGTTCTTAGATTGACATATTTTTGTGATTTTTATTGAAACTCAAATTTTAAAAGGGTTATCATTAATGTTTCACAGCATGCTACTAATTTTATATATGTTATTGTAAGCTCATGATTGATGAGAAGGAGATAAATCATAATATATTGTTGTTTTTAACATAATGTAATTGAGGTTAAGATTTCTGCTATTTTGAAATATGTAATGTATGTAGTGATATAGCATGATATTTTTCCTACTTTCCAGGTATATAACTTGTCTCAAAACATCCAGGAAGATGATTTACAACACTTACAAGTAAGTGTGTAAGTATTCTTTCTAAAATGAATATAACACAACCTCTATCTCCAGAACACTAGTTTAATTGTAATCTGTATTTTGGCATCTTCGAGAGTTTTTATACTGCTAATATTATAATAGAATACAGTTGGATTATGTAATAAAATGGAATGTAGTTATTCACATTCTGTGGTTTTCTAAACCAATAACAAACATCTTAATCCAAAGAAAATAAAAGGTTAGCCTTTGTGAACAAACTTGTATAAAGGGTTTCATATTGTACTGTCATAACTAATTTATTTTCTTTACATTTGACTGCAATATAAGTTATTGTTCATGAATATTTTTTTGAATACTCTAATGTTAAATAATGTAAAGTGTGGACCATTGATTTAGAAGCGTGCTACGTATGCATGAGATACTCTAGTAATTATATCCCATTTTATCTCTCAATTGAATTTCATTATAATATATGAGAATAAAACTCCTGAAACAGTAAATTGAAATATTGAGTTATAATAAAAATAGTAAACTAGAGTTAAGAGGATGTGTTATATCTATTTTAGGAAGTATGTTTAATAACAAACTTCTTTTAATATTCAAAAGCATTAAGAATATAAGTGCACAAGTATTTGTTCTACATTAGTGTGATGTACTCTGGTGGCTCAGGAATAAGATTGAGGGCTTATAATCCTAAAATACAGAATTTGATCTCTGTGAAGACACAGCATAGATGGCCCATTGTGTAGGTTTGAGCTAAAACAAATACAATTTAGACCTGAACATGGGCATATAAGACTGGAGATCTGAGGATTTGGGGTTCAATATGTCTTACCACCTAACATTATTTGCGCTATTAGCTTTGGGTGCATTATAAGAGGGACAGTCAATCCTGCTTTTTGGTACCACTTTGACTGGTGTTTGCTGCTTACTGGTTTTCTCTTTTCTCTCTTGTGTGCAGTTCAAAATTAGGGACAGCTATGCTTAAGCCATAGGGGTCTCTGACCTATCTTTTAGTCTGTTGTGTGTATAAGGTGTCATTCTAGTGAAATAGGCCTAAACCGGAAACATTAAATTTGGATATTTAATTAAACTTCATAAAAATCATAATATTTATAGCTGCAGGAAAAAAATTGTGACAAATAATGAGAAAATTTCATGATCAAATACTTATAATCTTTTTAAAACTAGTTTTATAAATTACTCAAAGGTATTAGTTTCATTAAATAATTATTTATATAAATAAACTAGTGTCTTGGTTCAAATTAAACTAAACAGCATGTTATACAAATAGTAAAAATTAGTTTGCTGGTTTAGACATTTTTGATAGTATGTAAACTAACTGAAATGATAGTGTAGTAAATAAATATTTCTGTTTAGGTAATAAGTAATACTTTATCTAGTTACCTATTTAACCAGTCAGAGAATAAAGTATTTTATTCAAAATAATTTGCATATCCTTCCTTGTTGTGAAATCAATATTTCACTATTATTTTAAAACAGAATAAGCTATTATCTATATCCAGTTGTTTACTAAAAAAAGCATGTGTAAACCATAATATTTTCTAAATAGATATATGATCAGTTAAGTGATTGGTGTCTTTTTCAGTTGTTTACTGAATATGGAAAACTAGCCCTAGAAGACACAAGTGAAAAACCATTTCAGGTTAGTAGTTCTTATTTACTTAAAATGTAGTTTTTATTTTTTTCACATTATGCTTTCTAAAATTATAGAGAAACTTCCTCTGTATATTGTATAATTCTATTAAACAAGGAGCAACATTTTTTGTTAATATTTCTATGGAAAAATGGCTAATAAATTATTTGATATATTATTTTTCATGTTGAAATATAAACCTTGTATCAAAATTACTACTGAATTTATTATTATAAAAATGCTAACTGGCACCTAAGTCAAATTTTGTGTTTTTTTATTAATTTACTCAAATGGAATGTAGTTGTCTAGAAATGTATAATATTACTAGAAGTAATTTAGCATCCTGTTCTCAGGAATATTATCATTAAATGCTGGTATTAAATATGTGTGAGTCTGTTAATTAATGTTTTTAAAGTAAATTTTTTTATGGATTGTAGAACAATTTATTGGTAATTAATTATTTCCTTTATAAATGTTTTATATACATTATCTCTCTATTGTTTCTAGAAACTTATGTTTTTGGTTAGAGATTGGAGTTATCCTTATGAAGCATCTTATGGAACTGAGGGTGGTCAAAAAATCCTAGATAGGAGGTTACAGGTACACAGTTCTTTGACATAGGTTCTTTTATATACAAGGTGAAAATTGTATTGTAACTTCTGCTTTTGTATCAAATATTAAAATTGAACTTAGGTTTCTGAAAAAAAAATCCAATCTGCATTCCTATATAGAAGATCAGATATCAACAGAAAGTTGAATATATAAAGTAAACATTAGACATTTAAGGTTGATAAATCAGTTTTTAGTCAGGTTCACTGATGTGTTGTTCCATAAAAGCTACAGAGAAGCAGTATTTTTTTTTGTTGTTGTTTTTCAATAAATTGTTAGTATGATTTTGAAAAATGTTTTAGAATTAAAAGTACAGTAGATAACGTTTTTGATATTTTCAGGCAAATCTATACTTTCCACTGTCTAAGTGGACCAGTTTCTAGAAATTTCTCAATATTTCTATATGCACTGTCAATTGTGATATGAATTTAATACCTGTATATGCAACACAATGTACTAGATTTTTAATTACTCTTCCTCCTTTTATACCTGTATACAAAATTTAATGATTAGTGTGTGGGGTTGCAGATCAGTTGGGAAGGTATTAAAACTATTAATTCCACCATTGGGTTAAGAGTAACTATGTAGGCAGAAAATGCTGCTGACTTGTTGATTTCTCTATGGCTAACAGTTTTAAATTAGAATGGCTATACCTGAACCCTGTTATCACTGACCTGGACATTTAGCACATGTGCCAAACAAGTTGCCATTCAAGTTGTAAATACCTAATACCCACGTCTGTTCAATCATTTATATGTGGTGTAGTTGCTTTTGTTAACTGTGAATATGTGAACTTATGCTTCAAGTAATAGAAATACATTCTTATGTTTACAATCCTGAGCCATTTCTTTACTACTTGAGCCTTTCCAACCTGGAAGGGTATCACTGATATCCTCCTGATTTATTACTTTTTTTTCATATAGTGGAAATACTTAATCAAATTGCATAAACTTAGTTCCAATTCACTACAAAGTTACTAGTTTCTAATTTAAAAAATGTAATTTGCATCAGAATTTCTATCATGTTTTAAATTGTGAGATTTTAAAAATTTAGTTGTGAAACTGTTTTGCAAAAACATTAAAAGTACTTCATATTATAATTTAAATGTTTATATTATTATTATTGATCAGAAAGTTCTGTTTTGTATATCCAGTGAGTTTGAACACATTTGATTTTCGTTAAGTTATTTTGTTTGATACTTTATTTTGTTGATTAAAGCAGTTACTACTTCTGATTATAAGTCATAAAATATGGTAAAACATACAAAGATTTATATGTGATCTCAGACTTTGTCTTTTAAAGTGCTTTAATCATTACTTTTGTCAGGTATTATGCAATGATTTTTACATACAGTATTCTTGGTCAAGATTGATTTATATCTAATAAATGTTTGCTTTCAGTTAACAGTAACTTCTTTTATTTGGGACTGGTGTTTAAATGAAATAAACTTAAAAATAATATTCAAGAAAAAAAAATGATTTCTTCATCCTGATACTTTGCTGTCACTTGCCATACTCACTAAACATAATTAAACTTACGTGATGTATTTTCTTAGAAGAAAAATCCCCTAGCTTTCAGAAAGACACAGTTTAATACAGAAATGTTATCAGGAAGGAAAAGAACAATAGAAACTGAAAAACAACTTGCAAATCTGTGGTTTGCTTCTTAGTGTAGTGAACTCTACATTATGAACCTTTGGTAACCCTATGTGAGCTCTGGGTATCTTGTATGTTAACAAACTATAAACTATGGCTACAACCACTACATACTATATATTGAAGAAATAATCTTTTTTTTAACCAATCATTGGCTCTAGCTATTTTTAATGATGAACTTCATTGGTAATTGTTCTGACCACATGCTGTAATATCATAAATGAGTGGTAACAAAAGACTGTAGTGATAAAACAATTTGCAGAGGAGAAAAATGACTTGAAAAACAAAAGCCATGAATCATTGTACTTCCAAACAGTGATAGTTGCATAGCATGTAAAATCCTCTATATTGGGATGATCAAAATATTTCTTAAAATAGATAAAAACATTATTTACAAGTGAGGCTTCTTGGAGCTGCACAAAAATGAAAGCTAGAAAATTTAACATTTTTCTTTGTGAAATACATTAAATAAAAGTTATGCTAAAATATCAATTGTAAAATACCTTTAAGTAGAAAATTGTTGAAATCGCAATCGAATTTTACTTAAGTTTTCACATTTGTTATGCTCTGTAATCTTTTCTCTGAAATAACAATAATATTACACCATTTGGGATTATTATTTCTGAATGTGAGCATGTGCTGTGTGGACACTATCTATACATTTCTTTCTGTGGGGGAAATGTTAAGTTTCACCAAAATGGAATCTCTTGTATATAAGCTGCTTGTTGCTGAAGGGAAAGTTAGAGTTAATGTTTGTGAGCTTGTTACAGGGTTTGTATCTATGCTTGAAAACCTGAAAAGTTTTGAAAATCACTTTTTCATTTTCAGGCCTTTGAAAATTGCTTGGGAAAGAAAAAAGAAACCTTGATTTTTCCAATACCTCTTCTCAAATAAAGCTATCTCAATCTCCTTTCTACCCCTAAGCATTGCTAAAAATATTTTAATACTCAGTGCACTCAATAAATTTCATTCCACTTTTGAACATGTATATAGCATGTGACCACCCTTCACCAATAGTATTATGCCATTTATATTGATGCACCAATCTCCCTATGATTCTCCCATTCATTCCTCACTTTCTCAACTGGCACAGCATCATTTAGATGTGTTTTTTGCATGTGATTCCTATTTGCGAATGTACTTCGTTGACATTTCAATACCTTTTTCAACAGTTTTCTTTTACTGTGTTTGCATTCAGTTTTTTCGATTTTTTTGTTTTTTTTTGCATTTGTTTATTGTTACTGAATTATATGGTAATTTAGAATGACTTTGTGATTCAGTGTATCAACAACAGAAGTTCCCGTTATGGTAGACAGTGCTTCTGGTACAACTACCCAGGCATTGTGTTTGACTTTATCTGCTGAGGAGTTACAGGGCTTGATACCCAGGGAACTAGGTTCCTAGGTTTGGGCAGCAATTTCTACTCATTTTCAACCTAACAATGTTTCTGAGGATGAATACAATCAAGGAGAAGAAAAATTGGATTCATTTTTTCTGGCACTTACTTATTTTGGTCTGTCACACTCTACACCTGTACAGGATATCTCACATTCCACACCTTTTTTTTTTTTTTTTACTTGCTGGTTAATCAGGTATGTGGTATATATCATGTTTCCTTTTCCTCCTAGCTTACAGACATCATCGATCGGATATTTACGCTATTAATGTTACCAGAATCCTTTACCAATTCTCTTATGTTCTCCTGTATCCAGTCTTGTTCTTATCCATGGAAACTCGCCTTCTCCTTAAAGTTTCTTCTCAACAAATTAGACATATCACTGTCTTTGGCTGCTTGCCTTGATTGTTTGTTGGAAGAAATCATTCAGATTGGAATGTGTACTCCTTCCTATTTTTTCGTTGCTCATTATCTGGCTGTATCTTTTTCAGGTGGATATCATCTCCCTTCCTTGGTGATTCTACACGTCCATTCGCCCTTGACTTGAGTGTATCTTTTCACAACATTTCATTTATGTTTTCTTTTCAGGGACCCTCTTTTACCACTACTAATAGGATCCCACTCTGTGGTGAATGTTGCCTGGTCAGGTGTGCTTTCACTCAAATCCACACTATATACCGACAGAGCTATAATGCTCACTGTAGAGATGGGGTATTCCACAAGACAACCAGTGGCATGCCTTATTTGTCTCTGTGTATCTGTAAGTTTAACTCAATGGTGGACCATTTCTTATGGACTATTATGAGTAAAGCAAAAGAGGCTTTCTGCCCATCCCTGCCAACCCTTGCATTCCATAAATTGGGAATGGTCTGCTTTTCAAAATAGTGAATTGTGAACACACATTGCACTTTCTGAAGTGTGACATTCCTCCGGACTTGCCACTGCATTTCCTTCACCCCCCTTTTTTCTCCAAGTGGGGCATGAGAGTCCTTACCAGTTTCCAGTCGCTGGAGTGTTAGATCAAAGAGGCTTCCTCCTGAGTGTGAAGTAGAAATTTACCTTACAATACAACCACACATTTATCTACTCAATGAGAAGAGGGCAAAGCTGGTTCCCTCCTTCCCTTTTCCTTGGATGCTTATTTCCTGGTGGACCAAATGTCGGTTGGAGCAGGACCAGCCTATATTGGATCTTCCTTGTAATACCGTGTTCAGGATGACACTGCCCTGTTCCTATGGTTGAATGAAGTAGAGGTCCCCCTTCTAATTAATTCCAGTACTAAGGAATTTAACATTGAAACAGTAACTATTTTAGTAATTCCCTCTTACTTGCCAAACTTGTTTTCATCATTAAGTAAATAAAACCATGATTCCATTTTTTCTTTTTCAGATCTTGAAAGATAGTCAGAGATATCATTAAAAGAAATGTTTCAAAAGATGCTAGTTGTATTTACTCATTTACAGAAATATATATGAGTGATAAAGAATAATAAAAAATATGTATAAATATTAATGCTGGTTTCAAGGTAGAGGCTAAATTGGCTAAGAAAGTTACTGAACTGGAACTGTGTGGATACAGGATGCAATATAAAAAAATAATAATTGTGAAACATTTAAAAGAACTATAAGCAAAAACCCATTTTAACTGTTTTATAGGCCAGAGCTTGGATGCTCGGATCCAAGAGTGATTGCCAATGATGGTGATTTGTGTGAAAACAAGGTGGAGGGATTTCTCCAAATCCTCCTTTTATTTTGTATATAAAGATCATTGTTAACCTGAAAATGTTTTACACAAACCTTTATTAGATTAATTATATCTATAGTTTCAACTGCTAAAGTTTTGTTTTGTAACAATGGCTTTTCGAAACACTTAATTGCATCTTCTGGAACTTTTGTAAATAATGACACTACATCAAATGACATTAACAAATCTTCCATATT